CCCAAAATAAGCCCTAGTTAAGTGAAACCCCGCCCCCAGCATTGTACAGCATTGTGCAGCCACCAGAAGATGACATGACTGTATTTGAATAAATGTAGATTGTTGTACGTGAAAAAAATTAAAACATCCCTTGAAAATCAGCCCTAATGCATTTTGGGCGGCAAAAATTAATATAAGATCCTGTCTTATTTTCAGGGAAACAGGGTATAAATGTATATTTTTAAAGTACAGATATGTTGGGAAAGTATATATGCACTCCTTCTTCATAATTACTGTACTTTTATTTGGTGTAAGATGTGTTGCAGTCTGCATAATAAATACTCAGACTTCTCTGCCTAAAGATGGCCCTCTAGGTATGGTTGGAGTCAAACTCCCATCATCTCTCACCATTAGTTATGCTGGCTTGGGCTGATGTGAGTTGTAGTCAAACAACTTCTAGTGGGCTTCAAGTTCAGCACCAACGGTGTTGGCACGGATTAAATTAAGCTCCTATTTTTAATAGAAAAAAGTCATGGCCCATAGAAAAATAGAAGATGGTGTAACTACTAGTTACTCACTGCTCTAAATAAAGTCAGTCATCTTTCTAAACATATCAGGATAGCACTACATGAATATGATGCAGTGTTTGGATGCCAAAATGATGAGTATAGATACAAATCCATATATCCAGACAGCCACTGAGCTCACTGGGTGGTCTTAATAGGTACTGAGCTCACTGGGTGGTCTTAATACTTAATACAATTAACCTGCTGTTAATTGATTCTAGGACTATATTTACACTAATTAATATAAGCCCAACAATTCTAGTTTTATATAATGTAAAACTTGCTAAGACTGGTTTAGTAATTAATCTCAATGGGATTTTGACCTGTAAATCCTGATCCAATTTAATATGCTTATCTATGACTGATATACCAACATTTGCTTAAAAGATTCAGAGATGGTATTTGGGTGTCCTCCTCAAGACATCACACAAGTAAAGAATTCTCTTTCACAAGATGTAATGATGATCACAACTTAGAATGACTTTAAAAGGAAATTAGATACATCTATCAATAGCTAAGAATCATGATGCTATATATATGATCTCCAGTATCATAGGAAGGATCTTTCTCAACAGTGGTAACTTGGGAACATGCCTGGGAAAATATGATTGCACTTCTTGGGGGTTCCCCGTGGACAACCGGTTAGCTATTGTCAGAACCCAATGCTACATAAGGTTATCTTTGATGTTATCTAGTGCAGCCATTCTCGGCTGGACCATATGGCTCCCTGGGGGCCTCTGGCACATTTGAAAGGGGCCAAAGAGTAGAAACAATTCTTCACATACCACCTTATAAGGTTTGTTATGCAATTTATGCAATCCTGATTTGGTTTGCGTTTCTTTCATAGTGCGTTTATGACTATGGCCAAAAAAAAAAAAAAAGTTGAGAATGGGCTGATCTAGTGAGACTCTTGTGCTGACTGGATAGTTCAGTAGGATAGGAAGAGGGGTTTGGAGTTTAATTCCCTACTGTTCCTCCTAAAAGAAGAGCTTGTCTCACAACTTCACCCAAACAGAGTGTGATGCTATGCGCAGCCTCAGAAATAATCCCAACATAGTGATCAAAGAAGCTCACAAGGGAAGTGCTGTAGCTGTCACGGACGAATCAATCTGCACAGAGGAGGCTGATAGACAACTGTCCAACACTAAATTTTATCAGCCCCCAACCATGGACCCAACCACTATATACCAAAAGGAATTACAGAGCCTCATGAAAGACTTCGCTAGAAACATACATGAACAAATCGTGCCTAATACACCAGAAGAACTTCTCCAGCAACCTTCTACCTACTATTGAAAATACACAAACCAGGAAACCCCAGTAGACCCATTGTATCAAGCATCAACACCATCATAGTTTGGGTATCTGGATACTTGGACTCCGTCCTCAAACCTTATGCCACCAATGCACCTAGTTATGTAAGAGATACCGCAGACTTCCTAAGGAAACTTCAGTCCACACACAACCTTCCTGACAGCATCATCCTAGCTACAATGGACGTAGAGGCACTCTATACTAACATCCCACACAAAGACGGACTACAAGCTATCACAAACACCATTCAAAACAAGGAAGAAGCCCACATAATCACCACTCTCTGTAGCTTTGTACTCATACACAACTATTTCAGCTTTGAAAATAAAACCTGCCTCTAGATCAATGGAACTGCAAAGGACACCCACATGACTTCACAAAATGCAAACATATTCATGGACTGACCTGGACCAATGTTTTCTCAACTGCTGCACCCAAATGCCACTCTTCTATTTCAGGTACACTGATGACATTTTTCTGATCCATGGAAAGAAACCCCTAGAAAAATTCCACCAGGATTTCAATAACTTTCACCTAAACATCAGCCTCACCTGGAACCATCTATGCAACAGGTGCGTTTTCAAGACACCACTGTGAGACTACAACATGAACATCTTAGCACCACGCTATACCGGAAACCCACTGATTGATACACCTACTTGCGCTCTTTCACCTTCCATCATGACTGAACACATAACAAAATTAATCGTGTACAGCCAAGCCCTTAGATACAATTGCATCAGCTCTGATCCACAGGACAGAGATTCCAAACTCAAGGATCTACAAAATCCATTCCTCAGACTACACTACCCACCCCATATGATTAACGAACAAATCAATAAAGCAAGACCTAGAAGTAACTTACTGAAAGACAGATCCAGAAGACAAAATGACAGAACACCACTAGTTGTCATTTACAATCTACAACTGAGACGGCTCACACACATACTAAGCCAGTGGTCTCCAACCTTTTTGCCTCCACGATCGGTTAGCATGCGTGCGGGGAGACTGTGTGTGTGTCTGTGCATACATGGGACGGGCCGTGGGAGTGGCCATGTGTGAGTCCGTGTGTAAGTGGGAGGGGCGTGCATGCATCTGCGCATGCTGGGGGGATTTGTCTCTGTGGCCCGGTCCTGGGAAGGCCACTCTCCAAAGCCCTTGGTGGGAAATCCATACTTGCCTACAGACAACCCCTAACCTCTAGCAAATACTAACACACAACGTAGAAAAGAGCAACACAGACAAGGAGCCTAGCCCTGCCACAGACCTCTGCCTGCACATCTATTCTGGCAACACAATCACAGGACCTAACAGTACCACATACAATATCAAAGGCACCTTCACTTGTCCATCAGCTAATGTGATCTATGCCAACAGTGCCCCTCTGCACTCTACATAAGGCAAACAGGACAATCTCTACAGAAACGGATCAATGGCCACAAATCTGACATCAGAAACCTGTCTTCAACTATTTCAGTCTACCAGGTCACTCTGCGGAAGATTTGAAAGTCACAATTTTAGAATAGAATACTGTAATTACAAATCAAGAACACAAGAGGATACAGCTGAAATAAAATTTATATGCAGGATGAACACCCAAATAAATTGATAGAATATAACCCTGGGTTTCTCAAGTCATTACCAAATGTAATACCGTACTTCTGTTATCCACTGCCACTGTTATTTTCTTCACAACTGCAAAGCTAAAAACTGCCTATATTCCTTACATTAACACATGTGATTCTTCTACTTCTTTCTTTCCCTTTTTGAGATTTAACTGCATCTTCAACACCCCCCTTCTCTCTTCCTATCTGTTTTCTGTCTTCTTGACTAATTTTTGCAACGGGACCCTAAACAAATACAGTATAGGCCTAATAACTGCATGTAACCAATGAACATTTAGAATGTGGAATTTTTATTTTATCTGCACTTAATTTTATTCCATTCTGTTTCTTTATGTCTGTCGAAGTGGATGTGTTCATGAAAGCTTACATTAAACTATAATTGTTAGTCTTTAAGGTGCCACACTTTTGTGTCTTTGTTTTGTTTCTTTAGATTTTGCCTGATATGAGCCAGCTTGTGTGGGGTTGGACAAAGCTGCCCAGTCCCAGAATGAGCTCAGAAGGGAATGGTAAACCAGTGTTCTGAGCGTTCTGGGCCTGGAAAGCTCTGGAAAGGGTCGCCATAATTTGGAATTGATTTGATGGCGCACACCCACGTGCGCACACACAGGATGCCTTTTGGATAAAAGTCAGGGGGGACTGACTTAAATAACTTCTGTCATTTTGATATTCCTGATGGTGGTGGGTTACACTGTGTATTTGAGTTGTGATTCTGTCATTTATGTTTTTGCTATACTGTATTAATAATAATAAAAACTCTTTGTCAGCAACAAAGTCCTCTGGGTGGCCGTAGGCCAGTGAGTCATTCTGCCTCTCTTTTCGACCCCTTGGCCGACTTCACAGGGGTGTTGTTGAGAGGATAAAGGCCGTGGCTGGGGAAGCAGAGACCATGCGCACTTCGCCAAGAGGGCTAGCTCCATTCTCCTTTTTTTTTTTTTTTTTTTTTTTGTCTTTTTTGTCTTCCAAGGACGTCGGTGCATCTGAAATGACCTCGACTTCAGAAACCCTGCACCGCAAAGCACCGAGTAGCTCCGAAGGCTCGGTGCCCGTTTGCCGCGCAGAGAGAAAGACCCTCGTCCTTCCCGCCTGAGGCGCTGCTGGTGCGGCTCGGCGCCTCGCCTCAGAGAAGTCCCCAAGCCGCTTCCCATCCGCCTCGCCCTCCCAAGAGCTGTCTTCGTCAGGCCTGGGCCGGCCAGCCGGGCGACTAAGACGGCCAAGACCTCTCC